CTATGCTTGCTTGTTTCATCTCACAAGTAGAACCAAAGAATATTGAAGAAGCTCTAGCTGATTCTGATTGGATCAATGCAATGCAAGAAGAACTCAACCAGTTTTCCAGAAATGATGTCTGGAAACTTGTTCCCAGACCTACTCATCAACATGTCATTGGGACAAAGTGGGTCTTCCGGAACAAGATGGATGAAAACGGTATTGTTATCAGAAACAAAGCCCGGTTGGTTGCCAAAGGTTATTGTCAAGAAGAAGGTATAGATTTTGATGAAACCTTCGCTCCAGTTGCTAGACTTGAAGCTATAAGGCTATTTCTAGCCTTTGCTGCTCATAAGGATTTCAAAGTCTATCAAATGGATGTCAAAAGTGCATTTCTCAATGGAAACCTCGAAGAAGAAGTTTATGTGGAACAACCTCCAGGATTTGAGTTACACACTAAGGGAGATCAAGTGTATAGACTCAAAAAGGCGTTGTATGGATTCAAACAAGCTTCGAGAGCTTGGTATGATACATTGTCTCAATTTCTTATAAACAATGGATTTATCAAAGGAGTCATTGACAAGACATTGTTCAAACTACAAGACAGAGAAGATCTCCTGTTAGTCCAAATCTATGTGAACGACATTATATTTGGCTCAACTAAAGAAGATCTCTGCACCAAGTTCTCAATCCTCATGCAAGGAAAATTTGAGATGAGCATGATGGGGGAACTCAACTACTTCCTTGGCCTTCAAATCAAACAGAGAAGTGAAGGGACTCTCATCAACCAAACCAAGTACACAAGGGATCTTATCAAGAAATTCAAAGTTGACCAGAAGTCATCCGTCTCTGTCCCCATGAGTACATCCACCAAGCTTGATATGGATGTAGATGGAAAGGATGTAGATCAAACTCTCTGTAGAGGAATTGTTGGATCTCTACTCTACCTTACTGCAAGCCGTCCGGATATCTCATATGCAGTAGGTGTTTGTGCCAGATTCCAGTCAAAGCCAAAGGAAAGTCATCTGATAGCAGCTAAAAGAATTCTTAAATACCTCAAAGGAACTAAGAACATGGGTTTGTGGTATAATAAAAGCAATTCATTTGAGTTAGTGGGATACTCAGATTCTGACTTTGCCGGATGCAAAGTTGACCGAAAAAGTACATCTGGTACTTGTCAATTCATTGGTGGAAATCTTGTTTCTTGGTTCAGTAAGAAACAAAACTCCATTTCTACATCTACAGCAGAAGCATAGTACATTGCTGCTGGTAGTTGTTGTGCTCAAATTCTGTTGCTGAAGCAACAACTACTGGACTATGGAGTCAAGACAAAGGAAGTGACAATGTTTTGTGACAATCAAAGTTCTATAGCCATCTCACAAAATCCAGTGCATCATTCTCGCACTAAGCACATTGATGTCAAGCATCACTTCATCAGAGATCATGTGGAAAAGAAAGATATCAAAATTGAGTATATCTCAACTGAAGAACAACTGGAGGATATCTTCACCAAACCAGTAAGTGAAGCCAAGTTTTCTGATTTGCTTCACAAAATTGGTCTAATTCAATTAGACTGAGTGTGGTACACGTGGCAGTTCATTTTCCACGTCTGTCAAAATGGTGGGTCGGGACGTGGCCTTGGGAACAGTTAAAAACCCAATCGGCACTAGCCGCATAAATCGCCCACATTAAACCCAATCATCACTATAATCAGACCTCAACTTCCCACTCAGCCCACTCAAATTTTTCATCGTCTTCTTCACGAGAATCTTCTGATAAAATTCTCAAGAACCCTAATCTTCTCACTCAAATTTCCGAGAAAATGAAGATTGTTGGCGCTAATATCCATTTCCAGAAGTTGGAAGCCAAGTGCTCCTCACCAACGTTCTATCAATCCTATATGGAGATGATTGCTGCTCAAGAGCTCTCCGAATTTCTTCATATGGAGATTCGATTCAAGTATGAGAACGAAGTTCTTGAATTCTATAAAAATGGAAAGGTCAAGACTGTCAAATCGAAGAAGGACCCACAAAGGACGATTCAAGTCATCAATTCCACTGTTGGAGGGACAAAAGTGAAGCTTTCGCAGAAGAAATTGGGAGAAAAGCTTCACTTTCCCAATTCTGGAGTTGAAATTGGGAGACTTCCAGCCAAGAATCTGGATTGGAGCATTATTGGAATTTCTGGGCAAAATCCATCTGGCCCAGCGAAGAAAACTCATCTGAACAAGGACTACAAGCTAGTCCTTGAACTTGTCATTGCATGCCTCGAATGTGGAAGTGGAGGACATGCTGATGACATCACCCAAGAGAGGGCCTTCATCATCAATGCCCTCATTACCAAGTCTAAGGTAAATTGGGCTGCTCATTTCTTCAATTCCATCTCAAAGCATCTGGGAAAACCCAACCAGAAATACCTTTGTCAAGGTCTGTACATTGGACATATCTTGGAGTCCTTGGGTGCTGCTTCTGAAGGAAAGAAGTATGAAGCCAGATATTGGCTGTACTATCTGTCTTCCAAAGGGGAAAACAGAGCTGGTGCTAGCACAACTGCAGAGGAAAGTTCTTCATACAATGTCCTTATCATGAGTCTGAACAAATCAGTAAAGAGGAATCAAGTGGTGTCTCCCTCTCCCAGTGCTGAAGCACCACAGAATCTTGCTCCAATCAATCTTGAAGAAGAAGAAGAATTCTCTTACCAAGGAGAACTACAAAGGAAAAAGAAGAGGAAAATCACCTCTCCCTCAACATCTGGACATGTCAATCCGGATGAGTTGAAGGAGAAGGAACCAACTGAGGAAACCTCTGCCCACAACTGGAGTTCTCAACAACTTGAAGAAGAAATTCCTCAAGTTCAGAATTTTCCAACTTCCTCACAACCTCAAGTAGATGATGCTGAGAATCAATTCTGGTAGCTCTACTATGACTGGAGAGCTTGGAAAGGAACTATGAAGATTTGCATCTAGAACACTTGGTCACCTCACCAATTTCAGAGTTTGAAGTGGATGATGAGGATCCTGCAGTATACAAACCAGTCCTCTCAAAAACCACAGAAGATCAGGTGGTTCTCACTTCTGAAGCACATGCTAACTTGGAAACAACAACTAAGGATTTCCAAATATTTCTGGAAACCTCATCTGCCCTTGAAACTGTTCCACCTGAAGCGGCAGTCTCTACTCCACAAAAACAGAACCAGGAAGGATCAAATGAAGAATTCCAGCAACTTCTCCATTCTGAAGCTTTAGAGATTCTCACAAATCCTACTGAAACTGAGATCCCGGAGAAGTCAACAGAAAATCTGGAGATGTCCAAAACTCCAGAAACAAATGAAGCTCAAGAAGAGCAAGCTGTAGAAGCCCAGAGAAGTTCTGCAGAAGCTGAGAAGGAAACTCAAATGGCAGAACTGGAGGCCTCCAAATCTCCTGTAGCCATTTTTGAAGGACAGAATGAAGCTGAAGAAAGAGACTCCCTCTCTCAGGATATATCAAATTTCACACTTGGGGAAGCAGAAGAAGAATCTGAAAGGACCCTGAAGATCAATGATGAAGAAGATGTACAAGATGATGCTGAATCTCTTCCTATGCAACTCTTCAAAAGAACTCTCTCTTCTCATCAGGTAACCAACTTCCATTTTCATAGCTCTTCCATTCCTACTCTTCCGGATGAGGTACCGGAAATCTGGACAAAGAAGGTCCAAGGGCTGATTGACTCAGCACTAGCATCTCAACATGCCTCCTTTAGGCAAGAGATAGAGCATATGGAAGCCAAGCACAACAAACTGATTGAGAAATCCGAAGAAACACACTGCTCCAATCTCAAGGAGATAAGCAAATCAGTGGATAAAACTCTAGAGATCTTATCTCTATTGAGTAACATTGTGAGCAACACGATGGAGAGATATGCATCTGACAGTTATCTTCAACTCAAGGAGGCTAACAACATCAGAGAGCAAATAGCAAATGTCACAATCAGTCTACAAAAACAAATGTCCATTCTCCAAATGGACATCAGAGCAGCTCTGGCAGTGTCTTCAGCAAATCAAGTAGTAACCAAAGACTACTTGAAGGTAATCATTGACAATCAGAAGGAAGCACACAAACTATTCAGACTTCTTACCACAAATTCTAGGAATCGCAAGATGGATGTGGTTCTTGAACAACACAGTCCATCCTTGATTCTAGAGCTCCCCATTGCAGTGAAAGAAGGAGAAGTCTCTTACATTCCTACGCATCTAAACTTGACTGATCTAGTCCTTGAAGCTCAGAGAAGCAATCCGGAAAACTCAACACAGCGCTTATCCAGCTCCGGATTGGATGGAACAGAGGCTGTAGGAACAATTGCTGCTCACTTCTCAAATGAAAATCAAACAGAGGAGAGACGGAAGCATGCAAGGCATCAGGGAGATTGCCGAATCTTCAAAGCACAAGAAGCACTGAAGGCTTTCTTCATCAAATCAGGGGGAAAGTATGTGAAAACATTAATTTGCTTTGATGAAAACACCTTCTTGTTTAAACATTGCTTTATTGGTTTAAACATTGCCTTAGTATTTCTCTTAATTGTGCTCACTATGCTTGATTATACCTAATTCAAGTATGTTTTTGAGATTTATTCCTAGCGCATACATTCAGGGGGAATGTAATTCAGGGGGAACTTAACTAGTTTTTGGCTAACAATTGTTTTTGGGAATGAATTATTGATAAGCCCTAAGCAATGGAAGACGGATATCTCAGTTTTGGTACTAAAATTGGAAATCTCCAATTCAGGTACTTTACAAAATATGTCTTCTTAAACTAAGCTTCAGTCCTTAATTCATTTCCAACAAGCTCTAAAAGTACTTGTTTTGGTACAGGACTTTGGAAAAATAGTACCACTTTTTTTTAAAATGTACAGGACTTTGGAAAAAATAGTACCACTTTTTTTAAAAAAATAAAATTCATATTTGTTTTGGAACTACCTCGTCCTAAGTAGAAATTAGAACTATAGGGAATGAAAAATGATAGTTTTATTTTGGGCCTTGAAACCCAATAGGAATAATTTCCATTTAGTACATAGTTTTCTTTTCTTTTTGGGCCACTCTTTTGGGCTTAGCCAAATTGAAATAGTTATGGTTCTCAAACCAAACGAAACTGATTTTCAAATTGGAACAGTTTCAATTCATTGGTAATTGGTAAAAGATTCCTTCCACTTTTCAACTTCTTAGAAGTTGAAACTCTTTTACTCTCACTGTTCCATCTACCCAATTAATGGAACCCATGAACCTCCCCTCTCTCTACCTCCTCCCTTATTTAAATCAAGATATCTCAATCCATTCCTATCACAAACAGCTCTTTCAATATGAAAAATCTTCAAACTCACTGTCTAAGAAACACACCAAGAAAAATATCCTCAATGGAGAAATTTTTCTTTCTCACCCTCATAGAAGGCAATGGAAGAAGCCTATTGAGAAGAAAAGACTTTCAAGGTCTATGGTGAGAATCTCGGCAGTAGAGCAGGTCTATGGTGAAAATCTCGTATTTTTCAGGATTACACCATACACCTTCTCTGGAACAACACTCTCTCTATCTTCCTTCTTATTTTGAGAGATGTGTTGCTTCCAAGATCTTAAATATCCACTTTGGATATTAAAGATCTATCAAACGCAACGCCAACCGCTCCGCCAAGCAGAATCTGCTGAAGCTGAAAACGGTCAATGGCGGAAGAGATCACAAAATCTCAAGACAAGACTTGGTTTAGGAATTATTGTAATTTGAATTGTATTTGTTTAAGAGTTTTTGTTAACAAGCTGTATATTATGAGAAACTAAAAGAAAGTTACAAAATTAGTTCTCAGTACAGCGACTGGAACTCTTAAACACTTGTTTGTCATCATCAAAAAGGGGGAAATTGTTGGGAAAAATATCATAGATTTTGATGATGATGTATTTAGAATGTAATAAGGACTTTAGGTCTCCCCAGATATTCAATGTAATTTTTCCTTTTAGAAATATTGTTAAAACCAAGTTTTTGAGATTTCCAATAAAGTTGTGATATTTCCTTAAACGGTTTGATGCCTGAAGACTTAATCGAACTCAGAAATTTGGAAATTGGATATCTTGATCGGAAATGTCAAAGACAAGTAAGGATTTCTCAAAGCAGACAGAAATCCTCCTATCCGGAATATTACATGAGAACCGGATGTCTCGTTACAACCCGCTGAAGGCTAAGTCGGAAGACTAGCGCAGATTTCTTTCTCACCTGGAAGACTGAGTATGACTCTTCCGGATTTGTCAGCTAAGAACCGGATGCCTCAAGGAAGACTGGAATTCTCAAAAAGCTGACAAGTGAGAAAAGACTTAGAAAATTATCTAAGTCTTGAATGAAGAAATTCTACCGTTGGTAAGGAAAAACTCAATCTCTTGATTTTCAATGGCTAGATTGAAGATAATTATGCTGATTCAAGAACAAATGACTCGAAGACAAAGTCTGGACATCTAAAAATTGAAGAACCTGTCCAGAATTCCTAAACAAGCACTAGAAGACAAACAGAGTAAAGTGCTACAGTTCAGAATTCTTGAACAACAACTAGAAGACGGATTCTATGGAAAAAGGAATCCCTCCCTTTACAATTGGGTATGTCCAAACACCCATTCCAATGAGGAATCTTAAAATCACAATCTTCATTCAAAATTGAAGCCAGCAAATGCAAGGGATAGTCTATTTTGACTCAACGGATAGATTATCCAATCCAGCTATAAAATAGCATCCTTGGAAAACTGGGGAAGCAGAGAACAACGACAACAATAAGATAAAAAACCACAAAGAGGCTACCTCATTCTTAGTTAGCCCAAAAAGCTTGATAAAGAGAGATTTCTAAACTCCTTATCTAGAAGCAAACTTCTCCTCCTTCCAAAGAGCTATAGTGTAAATACTTGAAGGTTTCCTTGCCTAAAGTACCACACCACGTTGAAGGATACAACTTTTGATCAAACTTACTGATTGAAAGGGGGTAGGTCAACTTTCTTACAAGTTGTTCTTTCAAGTCCTATTGTTTGGACCTTGCAGTTGTTGAAGAAGCGTGACCTTCGAAGGAACAACAAAGCCAGCACGAGTGCAGTAGCAACATTGGCCTTGCGACGATATACCGTGCAGAAATTCACACAAGTGTAATTGTTGGTTCATTATTCAACGACCAACTACATAGTGGATTTTGAGGACGTAGAAGGATTACCCCACCTTCGAACCTCGTTAAAGTTTGCGTGTCTCTCTCTTTTATCTTTATTTTTACTTGCAATTATATTAACTGTGAAAACTAACCCATCCATATTGATTACTGCTCACTCTACCCACCAACTTCCACACATAATCTAAAGTTCACAAGAACTCTAGATTAACACTCATTTTCACGTTTTCAAAAGAAACGAAAAGGTTTTTAAATTTGTAACAAAGTCTATTCCCCCCCCCCTCTAGACTTTGTATCTCACCAC